GGGGATCGAACTGCGGTCCCTGTGCTTTGCCAAGCTTGTTCCAAGTAGGTGCTTTAGACCACTGAGCCATCTCTCCAGCCCCTAAACACCTTTTTTTAAAAAAGTTATAAAAACAAAACAAGGGGCTGGGGAGATAGCTCAGTAGAATAAGCACTTGCCTGGCAAGTACAAGGGCCCGAGTCCAATCTCCAGATCTGGGAAAAAAAAAAAAAAAACCACCTCTTTAAAAACAGTTTAGAAAAAAAATTCAGTGTTTTAAAATCAGCCACCACATGTGCCACCCCAGGAGGCAGGATCCAGCCAAAGTTGAAAAGCCACACATGTCCCAAGTGTGCAGTCTAGGCTCCAGCCAAGCACGGCGCTGAGAGAGCATTCTGGCCTCTGGGGCTCCTCCGGGGGCTCAGTGCTGACGTGCAGCCGCCATGCAGGTATGTCTGGGGTCTTCCCGTCTCCCTCCCTCCTTTCTCAGTAGGCCTCTTCAATTACCACGCTCAACTTTCTCTTCAATTTAGTGACATTTTAATTATTTCATTACTCATTTTTTCCTGTTCTTTCCTTTTGGTGAATATTGGCTTTGAATTTACTTCTTAATATATGTATCTGCGGGGCACGATCATTAGCTCTCGGGTCTCATGCACTGGTTCTGTCTCTTGCTCTGCTCCTCTTGTCCTCGGACTTCTCATTCTGGCAAACAGTAAGCACCTAGTAACCGTGTACTTAGGAATCATCTAGGAACAACTGATATTAGCTGGGAATACTGACTTAAAGCTGTCCTAAGTCCTAAGTAATTATAATATATCACTGTAAGTAACCCAGAGATGATTTTAGCACACGGGAGAGTGAACATAGGTCACATACAAGTACTTCAAAAGGTACTCAGAGATATGTCAAGCAGGTGCTAAGTAATCAATCACTCGGCTGGGATTCTATTGGAAACAATTACGCATCTTTAAAACTGTAATCCCAACCCTGGAAAAGCAATTTCAATGGAGGTAGAGGGAGGATTAGCAGCGTATTTCTTTTTATTTTTCTTTTTGCATTTTAGGGAGGGTCTACAGGGTGTTCAGGCTCTCTCATAGTTATCCGCCTGTTTATAGCCTCCCAAGAGCTGGGATTCCAGGGGCGCGCCACTATGCCCAGTTTCTAGCAGCATATTTCTATGAAAGACAATATGCATATAGCGGCAAATAAAAATCAGATGTTAAAAAACATTTTATAAACTTTTCAACACCCACAGTTCACCTAAAACTTCACAGCATGATTCATCATATGACTAACTTCTCACTGACCTCATCAACAATGACACAACTGAAAGGGACACCTCCTTGCCCCCGAAAAGCAGACTCCAACAGTAAACCACCACTGGTGCTCAGTGTGCAGCAGATGATGTGGGACTCTAAAATGATGATACTCTGGGTTTTCTGTGGACGCCCTTGAACCTAAGAGAACAGAGATTAGTGTCTTCAATTATATATAAGTTCTTATCTATGATAAGCTTCTTATTACTATAAAACCACCATCATTTATTAGGTGGCAAGATAAATTAAGTAGATTTAGAGGTAACATCACATATAGAAGACATCAAAATATATTCAAGATAATCAGTAACCCGGGGCTAGAGAGATAGCTCAGAGGTGTAAGCGCCTGCCTAGCAAGTGCAGGGACCAAAGTTTGATTCCTGGTACCACATGCTGAGCCAGCCACAGAGACCAGGCATGGTAGCAGATGCCTGCAATCCCAGAGCTGGGGAGGCTGAGACAAGAGGCTCACTAAGAGTCCCGGCTGCATAGAGAGACCCTATACCAAATAAATCAATAAATAAATGATTTTTAAAAATTAAAAAGATGATCAGCAACTATCAAAAAGAATTAAATAACTATACAGGCTAAGCATAAAATGTAATGTGATCCTATTTTAAAAAATTATCCTAGGGCTGGTGAGATGGCTCAGTGGTCTAAGGCACCTACTTAGAACAAGCTAAGCTAAGGAAAACACAGGGACCTTGGTTCAATCTCCCAGCACCACATGCCAGCCAGCCCTGCCCCCTGGTGGGCTGAGCTGGCCACACACACACTAAATAAATAAATAATAAATAAATAAATCTTTAAAAAAAAAAATTATCCTAAAAAAAAAAAAAAGCTACCCTGAGGGCCAGGGAGACGGCTCAGTAGAATAAGCACTTCCCTAGCAAGCGCAAGGGTCTCAGTTTAATCCCCAGTTCTGCCAAAAAAAAGTTACCCACGGTTTAATACCGATAAAGTACGTAACAACCCTTCTTGAGGACAGACGTGTACAGGCAACTATGTAATTAATTATATAATACTACTAAAGTGAAACAATTGTTTGAATGAGACCAGGAATAGAACTAAGCTGAAATGTACACATATATTATGTAATACTATTCATTTTATGAAGGTAATAATAAAAAACAAAAGCTAACACTAATAAAAATTCCTCCATAACCAGGCTTGGTGGCCCCAGCACTTGACAGGCAGAGGCAGGTGGTTCAGTGATCCAGGTCAGCCTAGGCTAAATCAGTGAGTTTAAGGCCGGCTATACAGTGATTCCCTGTCTCAAATATTCATCTCTCTCTCTCTCTCTCTCTCTCTCTCTCTCTCTCTCTCTCTCTCTCTCACACACACACACACACACACACACACACACACACACACACACACAGATATCCTGGGTACCTGGAAAATATCTTATTTCCAAAAATGAAAAACAACTGTGGTCTGCTTTTATAATGCACTGTACCAAGATGAAAACAATGGGAAGGACACTTTACAACGCATACTAAATTCATCTGGGGCTCAAATTAGTAAACTGATGAAAGACTCAATCTGCCCATTTCTGCTACTGAGAAGTAGCAGGGCCGAATCGCGGCACCTGTGTCACGCCAGCCACGGGCTCCAATGCCTGTGTGTGAGCAGCAGGAAGGGCACGCGACGAAGGCACCACGGGACCCCTCTCTTCTCAGCTCATCTCCCGAGCAAACTACCACGCACAATCCGTTCAGTGGTGCCCAAAATGTGTATGACAAGCAGCAGGGAACAATGCCCGTGAACACGGGGTTTCCTCTGTGCATATGGCAAGACTGATCTTGGGCTTGGTTCAAAAATTTTAATATAAAATTTTCACATAATGTTTAGTGTAAATAAACTGAATGCAAGTTTGCATTAAGTCCAACCATATCCCAGCTCCCAAATCCTACCAACACCATCAGCTGCTAGTTCTCTACCCTTGAACCTCTCTGATTTCACTACAGCTGTATTCTCATGACTGGGACAGAACTGGCTCGGCCTCACTTCAGTCAGTCTGATTTTTGTCTGGTATCTTTAAAGAATACAGGTAGCCAGCTAGCTATGCAGTCCGCTCTCTGCATTTGTGGGTTCCACCTCTGTGAAGTCTGCCAACCACAAAGTAACAAATATTTTGGGGGAAAAAGTACATCTGAGCTGGGTGTGGTGGCACACACCTGTGCTCCCAGCTACTTGGGGGCTGAGGCAGAAGGATCACAAGTTTGAGGTCGGCACGGGCAACTTAGCAAGAGCATCTCAGAATAAAATGTAAAAAGGGCTGAGGACGGAGCTCGGCATTCCCTGGCTCCACGGCACCACAACTGGCCTCGCCCTGCCCGTCTGCTCACACCCAGAGTACAGCACGGCAGGGCCTGCAGCTGTTTCCTCAGACCCACTCCCTGGGTGTCTTTCTTTTCAACAGGGAAAATGCCTACAGCCTAGTTCTGCCACCCAGTCACCTGACGGCAACTCCTGGAGTTTTTTGCAGTGAGTGGGAGACAGAAGCAGAGCACATCATGAGACAGTGGGCACATTCACCACACCTATATAAAATAAAAACCAAATTCAGTCTTTTTTTCTTGGAAATCTAAGATCATGATAGGAATTTTTTTTATTTTTTTATTTTTTTTTCCCCAGAACCAGGGATTGAACTCAGGCCCTTGCACTTGCCAGGCAAGCCGCTTATTCTACTGAGCTATCTCGCTGGCCCAGGAATTTATTTTAATAGCAAGTAAATGTAGTTGTACTCTTCCACCTTCACAGGTATTTCTAATTTTTATAAATTTCTTTACACGTAATCAAGCAAAACCTATAGGCTGTATATTTATTCCATTCATTAAGAAAAACCAAAATTAAAAAAAGGGGGGGGGACAGGGAAATGGCTGAGTAGCTTAAGTGCCTGCCTGACAAGCATAAGGCCCCAAGTTTGACTAGTAGTACCACAAAACAAAGAAACCAAAGTAATGCCACAGGTAAGTACTTACCTCTTTAATTTTAGAAGCAAGTTCTTGCCTTTCTTTGGAAACTTTAGCAATTTGTTCATCAAATTCTGGCCTCTGGAAAGAATTGGAATGCTTTTACTAAAAGTAAGCCGAGCACATGCTAACCCTGTCCGATGCACGGCTGCGCCGCTCGGCAGTCCCACAGCACCTTGCCAGGGCACAGCGGGCCACCCCAGCCTGCTCTCCTCTGAGCCCTCTCTGCACTACTGCACAAGCTGCTGTCTGTCGGCGCACAGCACGCAGCCCTTGGTCTGCTCCGCACCACCAGCTATGCGGTGCCTTTCCTTTCCTGGCTCCTATGCAGTTCAACTGAGGTGTCCATCATGCCCCAAGCGTTTTTTGTTTTGTTTTTTTCCCCCCATTTGTATGCATTTGGTACAAGGTCTCACTACACAGATCAGACCCATGGTGATCCTCCTGTTTTTAGCCTCCACAGCGCTGGTCTTACAGACATGAGCCACCATGCTGGGACTCTGTTGCTGGCTCAGCGTGCCCTGGGGGCGGGGTGGGCACATCATGCAGGGTTGTTCCAAGTGCTCTTTGAGCTTCAGAGAAGAGTCCACAATGCAGGCTGGCAAATCATGGAATCCACTATCTTAAAGATAGGGACTAGACCTGCCTGCCTACCCAGGGACTAATCAGACTGCACCTTTAGAAATGACATGAGGCTGGGACACTTTCTTTTTTTTTT